CTGTTTTCCAGGTTCCCTCAGCTGCGATGCAAGTGGGGCACATGTGGATGAGACTCCATCTGCCCCAGGTAATTTTCCTGAGTCTTGGGGGAGCAGCTTGCAATGCATCCTAAGTTTCTGTTGTCCCTTACTGCCTATCTGTAAGTAATAAATCTGCTCCGTATAACTTGCTGTGCTCCTTGGGAGGTGTTCTGTTTCACTGGACTCACACAAGTTGGGAACAAGTGCACAGTGAACCTGCTTCACAAGCCATAGTTGTAGAGTAATTGTAGTCCTTGTACGCTTGGTGCAGTTAATACAAACAAGAGCATAGAGGGAAACTTCTTCCATTCAATTAAAGAACACCTACAAAAACTCTCAGGAAAACATCACACAACATGGAAAGATTGAATGATTTCCCCCCAGGGATTGGAGACAAAGCAAGGATATCCACTCTTATCACTACTGCTTCACACAGTTTTAAAGATTCCCACCAGTGAAATAAGGGGGGAGAAAAGTAAGGGAACAAAAAGGAACAAATAATAGTGTACCCATTAGCAGAAGATATTATGGTTGTGGTAGGCTAAATAATGCCTACCCCCAAATACGTCCACATCCTCACCCATATAACCTGTGTTACTTGATATGTCAAAAGGGAGTTTGCAAATGTGATTAGGTTAAGAATCGTGAGATGAAAGATTATCCCGGATTTTGTGTTAAAAGCAATACAAGCATAAGAGTTGATATCTTAAGGGTGCAGATGGAGTTTGAGACACAAAAATCATGATGTGACAGAAACAGAATAGAGATGTTACGATGCTACCTTGCCGACTTGGAAGATGGAGTAAATGGACCATGAAGCAAAGGACTGAAGAGGCCTCTGTAACATAGGATGAGTATGGAAATGAATTCTCTCCTGGAGATTCATGAAGGATCACAGTGCTATGAATTTATACTAGACTTACGACCTACAGAATTATAAGAGCATACATTTGTACTGTTTTAAGCCACTCACTGTGGTAGTTTCTTAAAGCAGCAATAGGAAACTAATGAAATGGTGTTATGTAGAAAAGTCTAAGGAATCTGTAAAAACCTCTAAAGTTACACTTCAAGGTCTCAGGATACAAGATCAACATACTAGGGTACTTCAAAATGTTCATGGGATTCAGATTTTCTTTCAATTATATTTTTCCACAAACTTTGTGAAATATCCTTGTACGAATATCTAGTTTATTTCTATATACTAGAAATTAACACTTAGAAACTGAAATGGAAAATACAATACTATGTACGATTGCTCAAAAAAAGAAAAGTAGAAGAAATATGTCTCAGTCTAACAAAACATACACTGGACTTTTATGCTGAAAACTGCAGAAATGCTGACAAAAGAAACCAAAGGCACCCAAATAAACAGAAACAGATACAACATCCATTTATTCTGAGACTAAACATAATGTACAATTACCCCAAATTAATATAGGGGGTTAATGCATTTCCTATCAAGACATTTCGTAGATAAAGACAAGAGTATCTTAAAATTTATGTGGAAAGACAAAAGAACTAGAATACATAAAACATCTAAAAAAGAATAAAGTGGTTAAAATCACTCTAGGAAATTTCAAGTCTTCTAATAGGAAAAATAGCAAAAAACATCTGGGATTGGTGGAGTAAGAGACACATAGATCAGTGACACATAATAAAGAGTGCAGAAATAGTCTCCACACAGGTACTTCCAACTGACTTTTGACAAAGTTACCAAGGTAATTGAATGAATATATATATATATATCTTAAATGGTGCCATATATATATAGAGATATATATATTAAATGTTGCCCAACCAACTGAATACCCATAGTAGGAAAAAAATTAAGGAATCACCACCCAAACTTTATATCTGTACAAATATAAGCTCAAATTGACCACAGTTTAAGTGCAAAACACACAACAAAACTTTTCACTGTGAGAGATGTTGCAAAAAACAAAACAACCCATAAAATAAAATCTTCAGAAGAATTCTTAGACATGGCACCAAAAGCATGACCCATGAAGGAAAAAAGAAAAAATATATATACAGATGAAATGGATTTTATCAAATTTTCAACTTTTGGTCTGTGACTTTGTCAACATCATGAAATAATAATAAAGAATAATAGAAAATATTTGCCTACCGTATATCTGGAAAAAGGACTAACATATAAAATATATAAAGAATTCTAGAATGACAGTAAAAAAGAAAAACACAAAAAAGCAAAATAATCAAATTAGAAAATGGACAAAAACATGAGACAATTCAGTGAACCAGATACAGAGAAAATTGTCACACAAAAAGACGTCCAATATCTCTACCCATCAAGTGTCAAACCTCAGCATTTTCTGCTTCCTCCATGTAGAACCCCTGCTACCTCATCTGCCTCGAGAGATCATGAAGAGCTTCTACGGAACACTCCAAAACGCCTGTGGTGATGTACTTCTAAGAACCTGTAACTGTTCCTAGGAATTTGCAATGAAAACATAGATTTTCGAACTGCTCAGTTCAGCAAATTTGCACTGTCATTGCCACTACTGGTGAATTAATTGCAGTTCAGTGAGTTGATTTTTAAAAATCACAAACCTACATGCCAGAGACCAGATGCCTCCTAAAAGGTTTGATAATGTTTCCTTATTGTATTATGTGGTAATAAATTAAGTATTAATTCATAGGTAATACTGATCTAGAAATAAAAGTACAGAAATAATAGTTACCACAACCACAGTGATATATGAATATAAACCTTTTAAAAATAAGAGATATTAACAAAATAAGTACAGATGTTGAGGAGCTGAAGGAAAAATAACTACCATTGTTACCATAGTACAATGATTAAGAGACTTGTCTTTGCAATCAGCCAATATAGATTCAAATCCCAATTCAGCCACTTACTGAGATGTGCCTGGAGGAGATTTTTAACCTGTTTTTGCCCTGGGTCTCCTGTTTTTGTATTTGTGAAATAAAAACATCATTGATACTTATTTCAAAGAGTTGATCAATTACACATAAATCATTAATAAGTTATTCTTACTCAGTGACTGATATAAAGGAAAATACATGGCAAACATAAGAACTCACTTATTATTAAAGGAAAATATATTAGGTTTCTGTATGGGAACAAATCAAGGGGAGAACATTTGATGTCAGTTACTATGGTAAATGTAGCACAAATGTCATATTTCCCTGCAAGATCCTTTGGCTCTGAACACCAGCCAGTGAGCAGCAGCAGAATGGCCTCCAGGGGTTCAGCAATGAAAACTGTCAAACTATACTTCAAATCTTTTCCTCACTGGGGACTTTTCCTCATTGTTTTCATTTACCTCTCCAGATGCTGATCAACATCCACACACTTAATTCTCTAGCACCTGATCACAGGTACCTCCAACACTGAGACTTCAGTTCATCTTATATCAGAACTTTCACTGAACTAGACTTAGAGACACTCCTTTTTCATATTTATAGTGAACCCAGTTTGTGCCTTCCATTGTCTTGTGTGCATTTGTTGTTGCTGTTTTTTTCCAAAGCCTATAGCACTTGGTATTCCTAGGTGTTCTCCATCCAAATACGAACCATTTCCAACCCTGCTTGGCTTCCAAGATCAGATAAGATTGGGCACATACAGGGTGATATGGCCACAGACTATAACGTATATTTTTATGTCACAAAATTTTGTCTCCAAACAACACCCCCATTTATGTTTCCTCTAAATTTTTCACTGGAGGAACACAGGGAAGAAATGGAATCTTCCTTACAGTATATAGAAGGAATAACTGGGGGAAAAAAGAAAAAAACATAGGCAAATAGCTTATCAAAGAAAAGCAAAATTGATACAGTTGAAAATGAACCATGGAATATATTGCACAATACCATAATCTGAAAATTACATTTCTACAGCCTTTGGGAAAACGCCTTTCTAGTAAATTACTCAATCATAGTTGTTTATTATATAATTATGCACACATTAATTTTCCTTGAATTAGTGTAAAAATACCTTACGCATGAATAAAACTGGCATCTTTCCTAAACAAGATGTCAGGAGTTTCAAGAGTAAATCAGTGTTGCACTAAAGAGTCAGACTCCACTTGGGATGTGTTACTTCTAACACCGTTTACACTCCCTCTTCCTAGTCTGCCCATCTGGGCAAACTGATAGTAACTGAGTGCTCCCTCCTTTGGCATCAGCTGGAAATTCAAACCGCATGTGAGTACCGTCACCCCACCCCCACCCTTTTAACAGTTATAGGCAGTTACCTCTCTGTTCTCTCCATTTTTGGACCAGCTTGAAAAGTCTACCCTGCTTTCCCCAGGAGGCCTGATTATGTAATGAACATTTGCATAACATGTCATCATTCTCAGAAACCAAACCAACCTTTACGTGGAGTTTAATCCAGTTCCAGTGGAGTGGTCACAAGTTCCAATTACCTGATATGTTGTAGGGTGAATATAGTTTATCTATCAAAAGAAAACAAAATGTCCATTCTGCATGTTGTCTTTAGTAAAGTTTATGGAAACTAACCTTTTCAAATTATTTCACCGATCACACCAGAGACTGTGTAATTTCTATCCTTACTCTTCACTTTTACAATATTTTCATATTCTTACTATATCTGCATTTTCACTTCTAGTAAATGAAGATGCATGCCATTGGTCTTGTTTGGCACACAAAAAAGAGGCATGCAGAAATATAAAAATACAGTGCATATTCATCAAGCGCAATGAAGGATTTAGGGTTTAAGAGTCTGAAATTGCACTGCTTGTGGGATTTTCATTATACTCGCATAAGTAGCCTGGGGCAGAGTGTGTAGAGAACAACTCAAGTGCAAAGTATGATTATATGTTCCCAAAAACCGTGTGTTGTTTGATTGCACCAAAACAAAATTGTTCTAGATCCTTCAGCCTTAAATGCCTAATGAACTGTTATTGTCGGTTAATGGAGTATACTACTTAGGTGAGAAAAAACTATGTTGGTAAAAAGAAAGTGATTCACTCACATTTAGGAAAAACATTAAATTTTATTAGTTAAAACATTAGACCTCTGATGCATTATAAATAAAAAACAAAATGTAACACCACCAGTTAAAACATGAATCCTACTCAAGAAAATGCTCTTCTGGTTTTTTTGATTAAACTCTCCACCCCGATTTTCTCTTTAATTTCAAAAATAAGACAAATTTTCCAACAATGCCATTCAATAGAGAAAGTGGCCACCATTTCCCCTGCATTATTTCTACCACATAATCAGTCCCTAATAACACATTACTAGTAAGGTCTTGGCCTGCTCTATTTCACAGTTTGTGGAGCTTTTCCTTCCTATAACCCACAGTGCCATTCTGAAAGATACAGGCACCCTTAAAACAGTAAGTATGGTGACTAACATCAGTTTTAATGTTATTCTCTGCCCATCCTCCATGCTTTTTAATTCAGAAAATAGTTAATTTCAGAAGAAATTAAATTTTTAATTTCCTTCTTCTTCCAGGAACTTGGATAGGAATGCTCCTCACCTAATGAAGTGGGCCCTGTCACCCTATTGATTCTTCCCCAGAGACTACAATCAAAGGCCTGTAAAGAAAGCATATCAATAAGATATTCAGGTTCAGAGTCATAAAAGTAGCCTTTTAAGAAAATCTCAAATATTTTATAACCAGAAAATGACCATTTCCACATGTCCTTGCACCTTTGATATATATCACGAGTTTCAACATATTTTAACTTTTAATTCTTCTTTACTATGTAATATCAAAGGTTAATTTTGAAGGACTAGAGACTGACTTATTCCTCCTATGAATCCTCTGATGTTCTACAGTTTTGATGATTGGGTAATAATCTCAGCATGCACATTACATTTGTGTGGTTTCACCAAAGGTGTATACTTTGATGTCCAGTGAGTTATGAGACCTGGATAAAGCCTCTGCCATGTGCACTACATTTATATGATTTTTATTTAGTATGGACTCCCTGATGTTGATTAATGCTTAAACTTTTGAGGTTTGCCAGTTACTGAACTTGTAAGGATTCTCTAAAGAATGATTTCTCCGATGTTGTGCAAGGAGTGAACTGTGACTGAAGACCTTGCCACATTCATTACATTTGTAAAGTTTCCCTCTACTGTGAATTCGTTGATGTCTTGAAAGGTTTGAACTTTGACTGAAGACCTTGCCACATTTATTACATTTGAAAGGTTTCTCTCCAGTATGGATTCTGTGATGACTTGCAAGGTGTGAATTCTGGCTGAAGACCTTGCCACACACATTACATTTGTAAGGTTTTTCTCCAGTATGAATTGCCTTATGGGTAATTAGGTTTGAAAGTCCACTAAAGGTTTTGCCACACTCATTACACATGTAAGGTTTTTCTCCAGTATGAATTCTTTTATGTTGTGCAAGGTATGAATATTTACTGAACACCTTGCTACATTCATTACATTTGTAAGGCTTCTCTCCAGTATGAATTCTCCGATGACTTCCAAGATCTGCCCTATAACTAAATACCTTGCCACACTCATTGCACTTGTAAGGTTTTTCTCCAGTATGGATTACCTGATGGGTAGTTAGGCTTGAACGCACACTAAAGGCTTTGCCACACTCATTACATTTGTAAGGTCTCTCTCCAGTATGAATTCTCCGGTGTTTTACAAGGTGTGAATATTGATTGAACACCTTCCTACATTCACTACACTTGTAAGGTTTCTCTCCTGTATGAATTCTCCAATGATTTGCTAAGGATAACTTGTGACTGAAGACCTTGCCACATTCATTACATGCATAAGGTTTCTCAACGTTATGGATTACCTGATGGGTGGTGAGGCTTGAACGCTCACCAAATGCTTTACTGCACACACTACACTTGTAAGGTCTCTCTCCAGTATGAGTTCTCCGATGTCTTGCAAGGTGTGAAATCTGATTGAACATCTTGCCACATTCATTACATGTATAAGGTTTCTCTCCGGTATGAATTCTCCGATGAAGTTTAAGGTATGAATTTTGGCTGAAGACTTTGCCACACTCATTACACCTGTAAGGTTTCTCTCCAGTATGAATTCTCCAGTGATTTGTTAGAGATGACTTGTAACTGAAGACCTTGCCACATTCAGTACATTTGTAAGGTTTCTCTCCAGTATGAATTCTCCGATGAAGTGTAAGATATGAATTTTGGCGGAAAACCTTGCCACACTCATTACACTGGTAAGGTTTTTCTCCAGAATGAATTCTCCAATGACTTGCAAGGTGTGACTCGTAACTGAAGACCTTGCCACATTCACTACATTTGTAAGGTTTTTCTCTACTGTGTGATTTTTGTCCTTGTGTGAAAAATGAAGAATAGATAAAATCATTCCCACATTTAGAAATGTGTGTTTTAACACTATAAGGAATTCTCTGAAGTGCTGAAACTGAAGAAGCATTGTTGACAGACTTCTCAACTTGATTACATTCATAAATTTTCCCTTCAGCTTGAAATGGATGCACTTCAGCCAGATGTGACTGAAAGCTTAATCCAATCTGATTTTTAATAGGTTTGTTTCCTACATCCCTTCTATTATGTTGATCTCTTCTACCAGTGAGATTTTCTGTCTGGGTTCTAGACACTGGTTTGTAATGCATTTCATAATATCTCCACTGACACTCAAAGTCATGTATTTTTTTCTGGAATTCCCCCAATGAAAAGTCTTCAATGTCATGATTTTCATGTCTTTCCAGCATCACTGTTTGGATTACTTTTCTTGTATTGCTGTTCCCTTTTGGTAATAATTCCTTGATCACACATTTAGGGGAGATATCTACAAGATATAAAGTATCAGATGTTCCCAATTAATTACAAATATTAAACAAATATTTCACACTGAAAAACTTAATACTACACCAAAAATAATACTTCTGCTGAAAAGACTTAAAGAACTTCAGATCTGTTTAATTCAATTTTGAGGAACATAAAAAAGGAACAGGATTCTTTAATAAAGACAAAGTAATTACATGTAATTGATATTAATTTTAGGGAAGCCTAGTTTCAAACAGCCTATGGCCAAAATATACACATTGTGCAAACCTACACTAGCCTTAAAAAGGAAGTATTTTTCCATCGTGACTCCACGGCACACACCAACCGGCAAAAAAAAAAAAAACCCCCAAAATATTGCAGTCTCATAATTGAAGAGAAAAAATATTATATTATACATATGTAAAGCAGAAGTATTTTTCCATCGTGACTCCACGGCACACACCAACCGGCAAAAAAAAAAAAAAAAACCCCAAAATATTGCAGTCTCATAATTGAAGAGAAAAAATATTATATTATACATATGTAAAGCATTATTTATATACATACAAAAGCCTACAGCACAATATGACATACTGTAATGGTAAATAACCTACGGCAAACTTATATCATACATAATCTAAACAAGTAGCAATTTTGAATTGCAAAACAATAGCACCAGGAAAATGAAAAAGGACTTATTATTTATTTATTTATTTATTTTGTCCTTTTTGAGACCGGCCGCACCACGCTCAGCCAGTGAGCACTGTGAGCGCACCGGTCATACCTATATAGGATCCAAACCCGCGGGGGGAGCGCTGCTGCGCCGCACTCTCCCAAGTGCGCCACGGGCTCGGCCCAAAAAAGGATTTAATGAAATAGTATCATAAAACAGTATTTTCCTGAAAACCTGAAATATTAACAAGTTGTACGGGCTCGGCCCAAAAAAGTATTTAATGAAATAGTATCATAAAACAGTATTTTCCTGAAAACCTGAAATATTAACAAGTTGTGTGTGACAGTTATATTGCATAATACATTCTGAAAAACTATCATAAATCATAATGAAAATAATTAATAAAACATTTTAGTAACCCATGATAAAATAGGCAAATAATTACTAAGCACATTTATAAAAAGTTATAGTCTTTGAAATTGTAAAAAATTCCTTCTTAAGAAAAAGGACTTCTTTTTCAGAACCAGCATACTATACTGAACTGAAATGTTTTATTTTATTGCATATTGACAAATTATAACTGTATGTATTTAAGGGGAACAAAGTAAGACCATGAAATTTGCATACAATGTGAAATGATAAACTCAAGCTTATTAACATACCCATCACCTCAAATACTCATCACATACACTCCACCTGTTTAACTGAAACTTTGTACCCATTAATCCACATTGCCCTATTCCATCAACACCCCAGACTCTGGTAACCACCATTCTATTCTCTGCTTTTAGAAGTTCAATTGCTTTAGGTTCCACATCTAAGTGAGAACATGCAGTACTTCCATTTCTGTGCCTGGCTTATTTCACTTAGTAAATGTCCTCCAGGTTTATCCGTGTTATTGCAAATGACAGAAGTTCCTTCTTTTGTAAGGCTTAATAGTATTCCATTCTGTATACTGTGAATGTTGCAGATACCAAAATAAATCACTGTCAGACCCCAACAAACTGGAACAGAAAAAGCATGAAGGAGAGCTAATGCTTGCAAGTCTAAGAACTATCTCAAAGACTTTCTAAAATAACCACACGAGAAATTCCTTCACTCATGTTTTTCATGACATGTGTTTCGCATGTATATGCATATTTCTACGACAAGGTTTATCACTGGGCATTCTTTAGGACTGCAGCAATTTTGGTAAAATGCTCTCAAAGGAACATTTGCCTAATAATGGCATCTCCATCCATGGACTGATGCCAGTTCCAGCATTGAGCCTCTAAAGGCAATAAACTGCTTCCAAGCAGCTTATGTGAACTTTTTTTGCCTGTAAAAGCTTCTCCTTACCATTCCCTCTTCAGGTTTGCCTGTGGCTTGCCATAGCTTTGCATCCCAGTTATTATCCTCTCTGCTTCCTCCTGAATAAATTCATTTTATTAGAAGATATTTCTTTTTTTTTTTTAAATGTTGACATACTCTGGTGTCAGAAGTGGCTCTGAAGTAAGATTACCTTAGGAGGAAATTGGTGACTCTTGGAATCAGGTTAGGTACCACAATTGAACCCTCTGTGCTTTCTGCTTCCACGATCACCCTTTTTTGCCCAGGCATATCTTCTCCCAGACTGAGCTCCCTGCCCCCGACCGCCCCCTTCCCCCACCCTTTGGTAGCAGCTTCCTGCTAACTTTCTTCTGAATTTGGTTTGCTTAATGCTGCCTTAATAAATCACCTTGCATCTTTTTCGGCAAATCCTTTCTCGTACAAAGACAAGTCTTCCTGGTCTTGGCGAGTACTCTTTTGGTTTCAGTTTTCTCTTCAGTTGCTTGCATATGTGTATACATATACTTTCCTTTGTTGGTTGGCTGCTTCTTTTTAACGTTTCTGAACATCTTTCAAAAGTTCAGGGCTTATAAAATTTTTTGTTTTTTAATCTTCAGAGATTAATGAGTTCCCCAAAGTTGTCTTTCTTAGGGCTAAATTAGAAGACTGAGGTCCTAAAATTAAACAATCATTCGGGGATGTGTACTTCAATTTTTAAGTGCATTCAGGATTCAAAAATTGCCTCACTTCAAGATACTAGCCGAGACAAAGAGTTAAGATTAGACAAAAAGGTCTTCGATGTCCAGATTCTTTCCTCTACAGAGGAGGCTTCCCCTTCTCTTTCCTCTGCTCCTCTTCTCTGTTCTTGTCAGGCTAAATTACCTTTCCCTCTACCTACCTCAGCTCTCTCTACCCCTGAACCTGGCCCTGATAAAACATGTCCCTTTAAAGTGAAACTCATAAAAGAAGAAAAAAAAAATTAAAAATTCAAAAACTAAAGTGAAGCTTACTGATTCTGCTAAGCCCCAAATCTCTTGTTCCTTGGAGCAAGGCTGACCTTAGAGCCATTGCTAATGAATTCTATAAGGTCATGAAAGACTCTCACCAATTTGCTGATGAATTCAACAGAGTAATTCAGGTTTATCAGCCCAGTTTTTTGAACTACACTAGTTATTTCACATGCTTGTCATCAAAGGCAGGGCCAACACTGGAGGGCCAAGGATCGTTGGAAGAATCCTTAGGATGTGGGCAAACAATCCCAAGAACCTTTACAGGGCCCAAGACATGGCAACAGAACTCCACAAAGCTATTCTTGAGGCGTTCCCTAAATCTTTACACTGCAATAAAATCCAGACCTGTCCCCAAGAACCTAATGAACCAATTCACAATTAAAACCAGCTCCAGGTTGTATTTAAAGAAAATTCTAGAATGGCCTTTCTTGAGAACTTTCCTGGCTTGTCAAAAGATCCCGCATGGAATGAAAAACTATGTACGCTTTTGATCTAGTTAATTTGGTAAATCAACTTGCTCACACCCTTGAAGATACTAATAAAAACAAAACCACCATTTATAATCTCCAGTTACAACAGATGGAGGCTCCCAGACAAAATGGGAAACAGAAACTTCCTGTGCTCTGCCAGTACTATAACAAAACAGGCCAATAGAAAAGAGATTGCCATAAGAAAAAAAAGGGGGGGCTCTAAGGGCTTAGAGGGGCTTTCCCCCAGTTCTTCCACTTAATCATCTGGGTGAAACACCTATTAAATTGGTAATGAGGTCTTAACTGTGCTCATAGATACTGGAGCAACACTATGGGTCTTTAACCCCATCAGATTCAATCAGCCCCTCTGAGTAATAAAAAATACAAATGGGAGTTTCAAATAAGCTATTATGTCGTTTTTTGTTTCACGGCCCATTCCTTTCCACTTTGGCCCTCTCCAGGACACCCACCTGTTTTTGCTTAATGCTGTCCCTGTCTACCTCCTTGGGCTGATTTTCTAGAAAAATCTCATGCTGGAATTTCTTTTTCCCAAAAGGGGGAGATCATTTCAGAATTCAACAAACCAAATCTTGCTGACTGGACCTTGGACTCCCCCTTGTGAAATGTGATCACACATTCTCTCATACGCTATGTTGTTCCCTGTTCAGAGAACAAAAATAATGCCACCTTTTCACTGCTAAATCAAAAACCTGTCTCTTTGTGAGTAAAATCTTCTACTGACATTGGCAAAATTCATAGTGCACTTCCTATTAAAATCCAGATTGATCCATCAAAACACCTGCCTAATATTAAACAATATCCACTAACCCAGATGGCATTACAAGTTACTAAATCTATTATGAAAAATATAGAAGACAGGGTCTCATTATTTTGTGTATTAGCCCCTGTAATACCCCAATTCTACCTAAACAAAAAACAAACCACGGGTGGAGGTTTGTATAGGACATCCATATTGTTGTTCCACAGTATTCAGTGGTTCCAAACCCCCCAGTTTATTGCATTCAGTAGCCAGTGACAGCAGGTTTTTCAAACTCGTTGACCTGTGGGAGTGCATTCTTCAGTGTTCCAGTGGATCAAGCCAGCCAATATCTTTTTGCCTCCACCTGGGTATGCCAACAATTCACCTGGACAGTAATGCCCCAGAGATTTAATGAAAATCCTTCCTGTTTTTCTCAAATATTAAAGGCAGACTTGGAGGATGTGGTTTTTCCTCTAGGTTCCACCTTACTACAGCAACTGGCTGCTAAAGATCACAGTCTCTGAAGAAACACTGCAGCTAGTAAAAACCCAGGTAAAATATTTAGGCCATTTAATTTCAGAAAATGGATTACATTTAGTCCCAGATCTGATTCAAGGCATTTTTGCAATTTCATAGGCCAAAAACTAAATGCCAACTTTGAATGGCTGCCCTTAAAGGTCCTACCATCATAACTAGGTCTCTAACTTTTCTCTCCTGGCTCAATCCCTATATGCTTTACATAAAGTTACCAAACCTGACTATTATCTGAACAGAATCAGAGCTAGTTTTTAACAGACTATA